TAATGCAATAACTGAATACAATGTAATTAACTTAAATGTAATGCTATGTCATCATCTTCACTAAGACTCAAATCATGTTAATTGTGTTCAATATATGCCACATACATACAAATAAGTGAAAGATAAGAAAAAGAAAGACCTTGTCCTTAACTAATGCTGCCCACTATGATGCATCAATGGCTGGCTTCTAAAACTAGATACTCATTGTAGCAGGTATCAATTCCAAAAAAAAGTCACATTCACTGGATAGAAATTAACCTTTTCTGCAAAAACACATCAGATCAAGTATAAGAACACATAGACTAATTTTAATCTTTATGATTATTTATGTTTTGATTTGTTTTTATTATGATTTTAATGTATTTCTTATTCTGTAAAGCACTTTGAATTACTTTGTGTACGAATTGTGCTATACAAATAAACTTGCCTTGCCTTGCCTAGACTAGTACATGCTCCTGGACCACTGGGACCTACCTGGACTGCTGAGAGATTACACAGATATAACATCATATGGTAATATAAAAGAAAGTACTAGGATTTAATGTTGAAAATCACACTTTATTGCATAAATAAAGAGAAATTCTATCATCATCATGATATCACAAATGGTACTGAGTATTGAGTCTATTCCTTAGTATCAAAATCAATTCCTTAGTACCAGAAAGTTTAAAATTTTAGTATTGTGACAACACTACTGTCTCATTGAACCTGTGACTATATGTCACTCTTTCCATGTTGCTATGTGTATCCTTAAAATCTAATAACATATACCAATAAACTTCACACATGCTGTATCCGGTTTTTATAGACTGCCAAAATTATCCTTGATTACGTGTCTGAGCTGAGAGCTGTGATCATCTATATTAGATCAGCAGTCTGGTGTGTGCGTGGCGCAGACGGACAGGGAATACATGAAGGTTTGTTAGCGCTACATGAAAGAGCGCATTCAGAAGGCTGTGTGTCTCTGCAGCATGGGGATGAGCTGTACGCCAGGTCACATAACATCACCTCTTCTCTTATTTCACATCAAACTGCCTTTTTCACCCCATACAAATCAAAATGCATCTTCCAAGAAAACTGCACAGAGCCTTCTTGTGAAGGTCACCTATAATTCTATTTCTATGCTTTTAATATTTTTCATGTTTGTGAAATGGACGACATCTGATAAATTATTGAAGCTCTTGTACGGTTGTAAGTGCATTTTAGTAATGAAAGTGAAGCATGGTCAGGCTGCAAATGAGTGATATGTTTTAACATCAAATGAGGCAGTATTTGGGTGAGTAAACATGTCCACATTGTGTTGTGTCGATCTTTATCCATCAAAGACATCCATGTGTTAACAAATGGTGACTTTTAAATGCCCTAGTGCAGGAGGGTCCAAATTTTTGTCATCAAGGGCCACAAATCTAAACACAGACAAAACAGAGGACTGATTGAGGGCCGTAGACTGGAGCTCAGTACAGAGAATAATTGAAATATGTGCATGTTTAACACTTTAAAATGAGCCATCAGTCTTTATTCATGCAAAGACCATTAAAACCACACACTAAATATTAAATATTTGCTTTATCAAGGTAGATTTAAAAAAAAAAAAAAAAAAAAAAAAAAAAAAACCTTGCAGTAAAAAGTTTATTTTTAATTGATGCAGGGTCATTTGGGTCAATTCACCTGGAAGCCTGAGGGCCAAGAAAAATTTGTCTGAGGGCCGCATTTGGCCCACAGGCCATAGTTTGGACATGCCTGCCCTAGTGACTGAATACTACTACCAGCCAAGAAAAAAATTCATGTGAGCCAAACCAGTCGTCTATAATGTAACACCTGAATTGTGTATTGTTCACTGTGCATTTTAATGAGGAACAAATAAAATAAAATGAAATGAAAAAATTTATATATTTTTGTAATAAAATTCTTTACAATAAGTCCATACTTATGACAGTATGTGCTAGCTGTTTTGTAGATAGTGCTATAGGCTGGGGGGTAAAGCAGAGGATCAGGAGCTGTGCCCTTATGGCCCTCCTCCAAACACATGGAGCCGTGGGGAGCTCTGATGGGGACAGATGCCCTTCACAGAGCGAATGTTGGGATGCCCCATTCTTTGTCCGAGAGAGCCAAGAGACACAGATCTAACCTCATGTAACCCCTATAGAATAAAATTGTTAAAATTTCAAATTCTTAATACAATTTTTTATTTGTTTTAATTTAAATAGTTTGTGTGTGATCCCTCAGTTATCCAGGTAGGTTCCATTGCAAAATAAAATCTAATTATATCAACTGGACAGATGTTTTTAAAAGATGTTTTGGCACGAAACCAAGCAGCTTCTTCTAACTGAGGCATTCTTAGCATAATTGTTCCTGTCCTTAATCCTGTCCTGTCATCTAACTCCTATTGGCTGGACTATATAGTTATAATTTTACTTCTACCAATGATCTATTCTCCTAGTACACAGGAATATGGTGATATTTCTGTGTACTTGGTCTTTCTCCTCTGCCTTCCGCACTCACACTGTCTATTATGGCTCAGTGCTTGTTCGGCCATATTTGCTGCGTCTGCTGTTGACCTGAGTTGTTTTCAATTGGCTTCTCAGCTCAAGGGCCACTTTACCTGTGTCTGAGTGCTGACCCGAGATGATGCCGGGATGAACCAAGCCCACCTCTGGGGATTGTTATGTTACATCTTATCTGAGACAAATGGTTATAATAAATAAGGATTTTACTATGAGAAGCATGTAAAAAAGAAGAGATGTCTGATGTCTCTGCCAAAAAAAGACAAAAAAACAAAAAAACTAAAAAAATGTCGGTATGTATTCTTGAGAAATAGATGATCCCTTTGCTTGGCCGAAAGTATATGAACAAGATATTTCAGTAGTATGCATTTGATTATATTGCTAAGTAGGGTTAAGGGACAGTAACAGGTACCTGATCAGAAGAATCGAGTTTGAAACCATATTTAAAAGGTACATGGAAGGTCGTTCCCATCTCAAGAGGACATTTTGCCATAATGGGCAATTCAAAACTATAGCACAAGCAAAAAATAATGCAAAGCCCTAAAGTACATTTCCCTGGAATATTGTGAGCTGTTATGATGGCAAGCGGCTGGATCCGGACAGGCAGGAAGTAATGGACTCTTTATTGAATTAGCTGCTCCACAAAAGCAGAGCAGTCATTATGATCCAGCTGAGATCCTGACACGGCCCTGAGAACTGCGCCATTAACTCCGTTGGCCACAGGAACAGACTTCTCTCTGTCTTTCAGTCATGCTGTTCTGTCTGAAGAAGCCAAAATAGTTCATGTGATTAACATTCAAAAGAAAATGCGTGATAATGTTCTAAAGTGTCTCAGACTGGGAGAAGAATCTCCAAGTGCTGCAAAGTCATCCCCCAATGCCTATAGGAGATAGGGCCTACATGTCTACAAAGGATGGGCCAAATGCGATGGCAGTTTCCATTGCATTCCATAACATTTCAGACTATATGCCAATTTATAGGCACTCATTTGACTTTCTAACTCTGAAGAGTACAAGTGGACATTTTAAAATGTTTTTATTCTAACCCAAAAATGATGTTAGAATCAAGCTCAAATGGCAATAGAACCAAATGTCACACATAAAATGAAGGGAACAGCTGAGAGACCACATTTGTACAAAGAAAGAGTCTCATTTGCAGTGCATGGCTTATCAAACTCTAAGCTTGCAGTAGCATAGCACACTGGCCTTTGAAAAGTTAATCCTTTCCCCAATGTCCCCAATACACCCTTTAGCTTTAAGTGTAAGTGGGGCACTGCTGATTTATAAAGTCCTTTTCCAGAGCAATCTTTCACGGAAAAACATATTTATGTTATCTATTAAGTGTTAAAAAAGGTAGAGAAACAGAATTGCGTAAGAATTCCATATTGCTGACCCAAATCCATCTGATTTCAGTGTCTTCTGTTATTATCAAGACATCTAAGGCTTTTGGAGGTTTTGCATTTTACATACTAATTGGCAGCTCTACAGAGAGAAGGAATGAGTCCACAAGAAGGGGGAGACTATGAGTGAAGAAAGAGAAGTTTGTTTACAAAAAAACAAAAACAAAACAAAAAAAAACAGTTTGGCAGAAAACACTAACAACTCCCAACTTCACTGCATAATACATACTACTGTAATGTTGTATCCCTGGGCAAGACACTTCACTCACTTTGCCCATGTATGAACCACTCACAAGTGTATTAAAGTGGCATTGGTGGAGAGTGGACAACCCATAGGTGCAGCCATGTCAAAAATGTTTGTCTTGTCAGTCCAACAGCAGCTGTTGCATTTGTGCCTACAGTAATCTGCAATGCATGTCTGGTGTAAGCTCTATTGGCAGCACCAACTTCATCTGCTTTAATAAAACAATTTAGAATGACATAGGCATTGGCGCCTACATGAGAGATTGGGTGAGTACACAGACAAGTGGAAGGACGTAAATATGACCATTTGCTAACTATGTCCTATTACATTACATCCCGGAATGTTCTGGTGTCATATATATATGCTCCTACAAAAATAATTTTCCAGTAAAAATGTCCACTTTCAAGGATAAAGGCTACATCATTGCTACACCATAGAAAAACACATGTTTGGGTGTTTCCCACTGTTCCTGGAGTAATTGCGATGACACTGCTTCTGTCATTAACACAAATGTAAGCAGAAGATAAAAATGATCAAATGTGATGATTATTTCTCCTCTTTACAGAATATTTAACCCAGTAAAAAGAAAGACCATCCCAGTGGCATTTACTCACATATTTTTTATTGCAATACTGTCTACATAAGAAAAACACAAACTAATTCTAATTACAGAGAGGAATTTAACTTAGGCAATATTTAGTATCATATTAAGCACTATAAAGTCATCAACCATGACAAAATATCGGTATTTTAAACCAGAAACTTCTGCTGCCCTTATCTTTGACAGTTTTTACTTGTTGTTGTTTTAACAATAATAAAGAGCATGCAGATAGGGCACAGATGAAGTACTCACCAGCCTAAACGTTCAGTTCTGTGGAGGCTGTAACATCACTAGACCAGACCTATAAAGGACAAAAAAACAAAAAAAAACAGTTAATCCTATGTTATATATTAACCTATACACCAGATACCTCAGTTAGCCTCGGTGGAAAATAAAAACCACCATGCATGCAGTGATCAAACATTTCTGTCCAGCCTCACATCCATGTACCTCAGGAGTGTGCACTTAATGATCACTTAATTCATATTTAAGACCATTAGGAGAAACTACCCTTTGATTCAGCTCAAAATTAGCAAAAGAGTGTACACATTTGAAGTAACTGCCCCCTTGAAACATGGCTGAAACCCTCCATGGCCCCAGGAGGAACTGTGTAGTGAGCAAGAGGTGGGACACAGCAAGCCTGAGGGTGTAAATTTGTGAATATGAATGGCCTCTTGGTACTTTGAGACACAGCGCATGTCTGGCTGGAGTAAGTCTACAGATAAGCAAGAGTTCAAAGATGAGCTCTTTTTATTTGCATTGGCCTTGGTAGTTTTTCTTCTAATGCCGCGTTCCAGATGACATTGCAATGTTATTTAAGGCAATATTTTTTACATAGGGGCAGTTATGAATTATGACTGCACAGTATTATAAAATGTTGCCATATGTGATAATTGTGATAATAAAACTCTATCAAAATAAAATCTTAACAGATACAAAACAAGGACTAGGACCAGGAGGCTAATTTGGGATTTTTTTTTAATCACCTTTATTTAACATATTTTTAAAAAGAGAGTACGTAAATAGGGTCTAAATACTGGTTAAACATTTTGATATTTCATGGCAAAATACAAAATTCAATACAATCAACCCCTTCTGGGAGTATCATATCATCACACTCGTGTACCCGTCTCACAGTGTGTACGTTTGTGGAAAATTATCCATGCCTAGTAAATTGAAAATCTCTTTTAGCATTTTCTTCAATAAAATCAGTAAAGTACTGCAGAACAACAACGAAATGCAAGACAAAAAGTTTACATCAGCAATCTATAGAGTAGTTTCAACCCCTGTGCTATTTCCATTACCTCTTCATCTGTCTTCTAACTGCTGTGCGTTTGTCATTCTCCGCTGCACTTGCTGATAAACACAGACAAATTGCAAGAGCCAAGGCGGGACCAAAACACATTTACCTTGTGAACCCTTCCCGCGCTTTAAGCATTACCCAAATGAAACTCATATCTTCCCCCTCAGAGTGTGTGGTGTCATCTGGAGCCTTTGGGCGGCACGTGTCTCATGTTAGCAGAGGACACTCAGCTGTTTAACGCCAGGACAACTGTGGGGTTCAAAGAATGGCGGTGCTAGGCTCACAAAGTAGACAAGAATGCTAAGACTTTTGTGTATGGCAGATATGCACGTGGCTCTCGACAAACTGAAGGGTGTGTTTGGAGAGAGCAGAGGAGGGACATGAGAGCGTCCTAAGCCTTTGCTAATTCCTCTTTTCTAGCATTTGTTGAAATGCTTGGTGAGAATTGTGAGTATAAAAACAACTACATTCAGATGTCATTCATATAGGTTTAACTCACTTTCTACAAGACAAGATGAGACATGAGATTGGCCCTGTATTTATAATAAATACATTGTGCAGTTTGGTACTGTTTTTAAGAACTACACCTTCTCACGAGATCTTTCTCCACATGTGTACACAATCCTGTGGTAATTCTATCTTGCAAGATCTTGGCATAATATCTTGCCCCATCTCTATTGATACTACAGGCTGTTTGAAATCTCAGTCTGTGCCACTTCTGGCTGTGGGGCTGCACACTGGACATTCCTGGTGTAAAGTGTCTGTGCCCTTTTTGGGATGTGGGCTTTGTGTTTATGAGCCTGTGTGTCTCCCCATAGAGCTTAATGAGGTCCACAGGGAGAGCCGGCCTTCTGTCCGTCCGCCTGACCAGAGCCCATACACAGACAGTGGTGGTAATGCACTCAGTGTCAGAGACCAAGACTGCATTAGACAGAGTGAAGCCTCATCGACTAATGAGACAGCAACATCTGAAAGGCTTAATGCTCACTTTGCGGTAATGTGAGAAGAAATAATGGGACTGAGAGAGAGGGAGAAGAGGATACAGGATGTGGAGGTGGAGTTTGGACTGTAAAGTTTAATGACCTCCCAACCATGAGTTTAATTAGATTACCTTTTTAGTCTAATACACAGAACTGAGCAGACTATATACACGAAAAGGCTAGACATGCTCAAACTACTGCACAGGGACCACTGCCAGGGCTTGATCTAGTCTTCTGAATCTTCACCTGGTTAAGTCTGATTTAGCACAAATACAACAAGCTACCATTTACTCATCATTGTAATCAACAACTAATTGCCTTACCTGCTGATACCTGTATCCTATTCGCTCTGATATTTCTAATTATTACTTTATTTGCTCAGACAGGACCTGTGGTAATATTTGTCATACTTTTACTTTTTGTCATCACCCCATTCCAAGTCACCAATGCACAAAATTCCCTCAAATATTAAAGAACTGACAAAACATTAATACATAAATGAATGTAAAACTATGAGAAAACAAAAAATCTTTTCAGCAAAAACTTGAATATAACATAATGAAATGTGTAGTAGCCTAAACTGTCATTTGCACTTTAAGTAAAGGCAGATTTGTGCCGCTGTTTCGGCCAAACAAATTACCAATGCATTGACAGAATAATGAGAGAAATAATAAGGTGTCAGTTTGATATGTCCACATAGTAAATGACTTCTGAGCGCTGCTTTGATATGTATATACCTTACGCACAGCTTACACCATTAACTGGAGCTGCTGAACACAATAAAGCACCCAGTCGAGGTAGAATTTGTTACAGTAAGGGAGAAGGAGGGACTGGACAGGCTTTATGAGGAAAGGTCTTATGCAACAACCTTGGTGTTATAAAATCAATGAGCTCCAGTGAAGAGAGAGAAATAGAAGATGGCATTGGTAAATTAAAGTTATGTTAAAATACATGAGGCACTAAAATGCAATCTGCAGATTCAGAGTTACACATATAACCAGCATGCAGGCACACACGGTAGTCCACTGGCCTCTGATCAATAAGTGCAGAGGTGAATGATGAAACCCATGAGGATGTGTACTCTTGTGCATGTTGGAAAGGGCTTACGAGCAGAGGCTAGTTTAGCTCTGCAGAGTGGGACGGCCTAGAGACACAGTGGTGAGCTTAGATCTTTTATGTGGGCAGTCTGAAAAGAGCCACTCACTCAATGGAATACTCATTTGAAATGCTAAAAAAATAAGTGGATGTGAGAAAGAAGAAGTAATCATTGGGCTTTATTTGGAATGTATTTCTGTAGCCTCACTGTTAATTCTCATGGCTCCAACACCAACAGGTAAAAATCTGCAGCCAAAGTAGTCATAACCAAGATCTGCAGAGGGGTCCCTGAGCGCTGATACGGCAGCAGCTCACTGCTTCTGACAGGCTGCTACAGCGGGTTTGAAGGATGGGTCAAATAGAGAAATAATGTCCTTCACGGGGGACTAATAAAGTGTACCTTACATGATGCTTGGATTAGCATTAACATAAAACCCTTAAAAGAATGCAACCCTTTTCATTTAACCTGATTTGAAACCCAATTTCCCTCATGATAAGTTTGAGGAAGCGTGAGATTCAATTTCAACTTTTGATTGTTTTGCAGATCCAAAACTAAAATTTTGAGAATCCAACATATTGTTGTTGTTTGCAGTCCACATGCTACCTTTTCATTTATTATTATTCATTTACCTCCAGCTCAAACATGGAGACATCATCTATGGGATTTTTACAGACAGAATTGTTTCCTTTTTTTTACTTTTCATTGCGTGTAAGAGCGCTTGGAAAGACAGTGAGTTAACGGCGTGTCCTATTCTTGTGCAGATCTCGAAATCACAATTTGAATTTTTTAAGTACTATAATTTCCTCCACAAACAACAAAGCATCCTGTCTTATTCTGCATAAAAACTGCTCTTTTTGTAGACAAAATCTGTACAAACATGCTCTGAAATGTGATTCTTGTATTAGTTTGTCAGTTCATATATCAGTCTTTTTGTCATTTCTTCTGGACACGTTTAAAATGTGAACTCTGGTCAGTATCCTAATCCACACTTGCACAAAAATCACAAATCCACTTGTAATGCTAGCCAGATTTGATATTTTTCCCGAACTGCTTTGCCTTACATGTCTCTATTGTTGTTCTGTGAGCTGCAAATCTTTTCTAAAAATGGTTTGGCCTCACAGTCTTCTGACGACTGTGAGATTAATTAAACTAGCAAACCTCCTTAAATCTGTAGACTATGTTTCAGGATTTAGGCCTTTAGATTTTTTTTTATTCTAGTGTGTCCCTGGCCTCTTCTTTAATGTATTGATCCCACTGTTGTATTTATGGCCCCCTCATTAGCTAAAAGCCCCATAATGAGAGCCCTCCTGGCTATCTTCATATTTGCTCCGTTCACTTTGTTTTCAACTCATTCCACGTACAAGTTAATGATGATAATCCAAGGTCGGAACAGACAACAGAGAGGTAGCAGACTGTTTGGCTCAAATGGGTAATTCTCAAGTGCCACATTCAAAAAACATTGTAGTCTCATTATGTCGAGATACCCTGTGGTTTTCAGATTATAGGATGCAATATACTATATTATTGATTTCAACGTATTATGCCATGAAATATCCAAAAGGTAAATTCACAAATATTGAACCCATAGACTTTATATATAAATGGACATAGCAAACTGTGAGTCACTGTGTTCCAAATAGGAAGAGAGCATGGCTACGCTTTCAGGTCCAACGACTCTGTCTGAATTTTGGACTTCTGGTCATCACGCTATGCATCCTGGGAAGGGTCCTCCAAAAAAGCGAGCATCAAACCACCATGTTTGATTTCCCAGTGGGATGCGTCTATTGTCAAAGATGATCTTTTCAAGTCTTGTCGCTTTTGTTTCTGGTTCTGATATTGTCATATTTTAGTTATGGGATTCGGGCATCGTAATTGCGTGGTTAATCAATGTCCTAACAGCGGAAAACGGCTCGAGAAATGTG